AAAGGGTTTTGAAGGTTGTCCGTACAGGTTGTACGGAAATGGTAAGAAAATCCGAGATAGGTCAATGGGTAAGGGTGTGTGTGTGAGTGTGTGGTCTAGTTTGTCACCAACCAAAACTAGGGAAAATTTAGTTCTAGTTGGGTCCAAAAACTTAGGAACCTAACATATAGGTCCACAACCAAAAACTAAACCACACAACACCACAAACGTTCAAGGGTACTTTGGACATTTCACACTGACGACAAAAATAATTCAGGACGGGCTATGACACCATATGTTCGGCGATCATCAGGAGCTCTTCCTTTTGTCAAAAACCCATCACAATTGCATGTAAGCAAACAAATTCTAGTTTTTATTGCAAAACCAAAATCATAAACAAAACAAAACATTTATGATTGATTGGGAGGTGGGGATTAGATCGTGAGGTGTGGATGGTATTGTTAAACATCAAATTTTCTTGGAAATAAATTCAGGTTCATTCATAAACATGTGGAATTGTCAAAATTGTATCTAATAATGTTTGGATTTAGGGTTTGTTATTAACTTTGAGGGTATTGATATCTATTCTACTGAAATTTTGGATATATTTTATAGTTTTTATAAAAAACTGATATTTACGAAATTAGAGTGGAAATTTTGCTTATATATGATAAATTCTCTAATTAAAACGTATCCTTAACAAAAAAGAAGTCCCAAAAAAAAGTAGGGAAAAGATGACAAAGTTATTAAAAATTGGATTATCATGTTGGGACCATCATTCTTTCAAAACTCATGTGCTTATACGAATACAAGTACATATGTTTACCGAATTGGGTATGCAAAGCTTAATTATAATTTGCCTTATCTCAAGGTAAAAAAATGTAAGATCTCATATCGTCTGGGGGAAAAGAGGTGATGTGCCTTATATGTACATACCCACCTTCCATAATGAGATGCGTTTTGGGTGGAAACTCAAGAACAAATCCGTGAGAGCGTGGTTCAAAGAGGACAATATCTTATTATGCGGACTAGAATGTGACAAAAAAAGGTTGTGGCACCTTCTTGCTTCGGGTTTTAAAAAGAAGTTTTTGTTAGCCGAATCAAATGTTTAACCTAACTTAATTCTAATACATACATTTATATACTCATCACCACTTATTAAAGGGTGGAGAATCCACGATGAGAGACTAATCAAGTTAAGTCTAAAAAAAATAAACTTCTAACTTTGCATATTTGAACGACATATATCGTGTTTTGCAGAGAACAATTAGACAAGTAAAACTCACTACTTTGATGTTATATGTAGACTTTTTGGGCTAATCTATCGTTTGTTAATTAGGTCAAACAACATATTTAAGGTTTGATATTTTTTTATATATTTTTAATTTTAATTTTCGTAGCGTTTGTTAAATCATGAATAGGAATATATGTTTCGTACCATGACGATAATTTTGCATGACATTCAAGGAAGAAAATATCGGTAATATTGGAAATATCGGTAGTCCGAAAACACGGAAGTATCGATGGAAATATCGAGATAATATCGATATCGATAAAAATTACATGGAAACCACGGAAATTGTAAGAAAAACTTGGAAATTTTTATTGAAACTTTGCAGGATGTTTATTTAGTCAATTATCTATTAGTTTATCACAAAAAATTGGAAGGAAATGCATTGCATGATGGATTTAACATTATCAAGTTGATTATATAGCGAGCTGACAAACATTGTGAGTGTAGAAAATCTGTAGTAATTAATGAAAGAAGTCTAAACACACCATAATAATTTATATATAATGAATTAGTACATATTTTACACTTTATACATTGCATTTTTGGTTCTTCTCTGACAGAATTTGGTCTTCACGTGGAGAAGAAGATAAAGTAAGCAGATTTTTTTGTTCTTCTCTGACAGAATATTTGGTTCTTCTGAGCAAAGTCACTTCCAATTCTTTCACACAAAACCGTGTGCCACACACACACACCCTCAAAGTTTTTTTCTTTTTCTCTCGGATAACACACACACACACACACACACACATAACCATACACACACATACACACACACACACACACACACACACACACACACACACACACACACACACACACACACACACATACACACACACACACACACACACACACACACAAAACCGTGTGCCACACACACACACGCACACGCACGCACACGCACACACAATCTCTCGATCCTTCTCCCTCATTCCACACACACACACACACACACACCCTCCCTCTCCTTGTTTCTTCTCCAGTTCCCCCCCCCCCCATCTCTTTTCTGCATATCTCCTTCCCAGAGGAGACAGACACACACACACCCCACTTCCCCGTGTTTCCCCCTTCCCCAATCCCTCGAACCTTCTCCCTCATTCCTCCTTGTTTCTTCTCCCCCCATTTCTGCAACTCTCCTTCCCGGAGCACAGCCACACCACACCCACACGAGGCAGAGGATCCATCAAACCCGAGCGGGTTTTGGGATCCGGAGAGAAGCGGAGGCAGCGGACACCTGACGATGGACCGGAACTCATCGTAGTCGTCGGTGAGGAGGACGACGTTGTCCCAGCCGTCTTGGATTCGTGAGGAAGACGACGTTCCCAGGCTCCTACTTCTCTTCTTCTCGGCTTGTAATTTAATTTTTGTACAGATTTCGAATTTTCTGCATGTAATTTCACTTTTGTACTGAATTCGATTTTAGGGATTTAGGAATTAGGGATTCAGTTCATTTGCTTTGAATTTGAATTTGGGGATTTAGGGATTCAATTCATTTGCTTTGAATTTGAATTTGGGGATTTAGGGATTCGGTTAACGGAGTCTGGCGTTCTTCTCCGATTTGAACAGTGCCAAATATCGCGATAGTTTTGAAAATATCGCGATATTATCGATATTATCGATAATATCACGATATTTTGACGAAAACAATTTGGATAGTTTAAAAAATATCGGATCCCCGAAAAAACGATAATATCGGCGATATTTCGCCGATATTATCGATATTTTCTTCACTGATGACATTAACACAACAAGGGCAGACAAATAGTTCCAGCTGGTACAAAACAAACAAGCAAGGTACAAGGTGTTTTCCCCCTTCTTTTTTATTTTAAGAAAACTAAAAATAAATATTAACAAGTCAAATTAAAAAGATCAATACTGCATTTAGAATTCTTATATTTTTTTTTAGTACATCTCTATATTTTTACACTGAGGAGAATGAGAGTTTAGTTATACCACACAATGAACAATCTAATTTGGTATCGAATTCGCCATTCACGATATTCAAACCTAAAATTTTTTACCTTCAAATGAAAATGAATATTACTATATCATTGTACTGAGTGATTACTATATTTAGAATTCTTAACTTGATTATTTATATCTCTTTTTTGTTGTACATGCTCAACTTCATACCCAAACACCAACGACACACATTGTGTCATCCTTCACACTCCGTAGGACCCTCTCCCTCTTGTTCCTCAAAGAAAGATGGAAAAAGAAGGCACACAGAGAGAACTGTCGAGGACAATGAACATGATGAACCCTAGAACCAAAGTGCCAAATAAGGCCCTTATAATCAGATAGGACAAAACTTCCCATCCTACAGCTGTTCAAAATTTAAGGGTACCCCAGAAAAGGTATACTATGTAAAGGGAAAAGGATCCTTGTTGGATCAATTTTTCTAAAAATCCTAGGAATCTTGTGATCGTGATCGTTCATCGTATTTATGCGGTTAATTTTTTTTAGGTATACTTTACATTTAATTTTAAAATTTTAAATAATTTCTAACTGCACGATATACGATCCACGATCACGATCACTGAATTCCTAGGATCATCAGGAAAAGGATCTGGCGAGGATCCTTTTCCCATGTAAAGAATACCATAAATGAAAACTCACTCATTTTATATTAAGGTATGCACAGCCACTCCTTAGATTTGATATTAAATTAGAAAAAAAATAGACTACTTACCACTATGATTTAGTGATATTTTTTTTTCACTTATAAATGAGAGTTCTTAGGTTCCTTTCTTGTCAAAGATGAATTTGAATCATATTATTACTAGTCCATTGCGAGATTTAGCCAAATCCCCCACCTTCTAGTACAGAAAATATCGTTTGTTAAAAAAATTGAGAAAAAATAGATTTTACTATTTTAATATATATATATATATATATATATATATATATATTGTAATACATTAATATTTTTTTACACTAAGGGAATGGGGAGTTTGATATTTTAATATTAACAATTGGTATAAAATTCTTGAGTGACTATAAATTCTAGTGACCAATAGAACAAGACTCGTAAGAACAATACCTCGTTTTATATTTTGATTTTCTTTTCATAAAATAACTATTTTAGTAACATTCATCTTCACTTATTATATGACTTAGCTAAAGTTTCACACTCCTTAGTATATATATTGATAGAAATTAGGGAGTCAGAGCATGAGTGTAAAGTTTGAATTGAATTATTATAATACTTTTAAAATAAAATAAAAAACTCGACTAACTGTAAGCGTTATAAGGAGCATTTAAGATTTTTCGGTTACAAAAATGATTCTCTTAATACATAGTATAAACAATTTTCTACCTTCAAAATCAAGGTTTCAAACTTGGATGAATGTAGATCCTCCCCCAACAAGTTGGGAGTTATTTATAATTAGGGTTTTCGAACTTGAATGTAGGTTATCCTAGCTAGGCGTTGCTAGAGCAGCTGATCACGTACAACTTTTTTTTTTTTTTCAAACATTAGAAAGAAAAATATCTAATTTAAAAAGTAAAAATACTTAACAAATTAACCAACTTAGTATTTTGAAAGGACCAAGATATGCCCATGCAAGTCAAGATATGGATCACATGGCGACGGTATTATCATCTTAATTTCTCGAAAATATTTAGCCATTAAAATGCCAACACAATTAAATTGCATTTAAATTTTGACTTTTGACCACAATCTCCAAACATTTGGAGAGGACGAGCGAAAGAGTTCCAATCTTCTGCACCCAAACTTTTCAGTGGCCTCTCTGTGGCTTTCTCAAAATTTGACACCTGTCCATCACTGACATCACTTTTAAACAGCGTTAACTCTCCCCAAAAAAAAAAAAAAGTTAAGAACCAGACAACCACCATCGAACCCATCCCTCTCCTCCTCCTCCTCCTCCTCCTCCTCCTTTGAAGGAAACGACGAAGTGCGCTGAGTGTTGCGGTGCGATGGTGGTGTCTGGTAGCGAAAGAGAAAATAAAGGCGACAGTCAGAACTTGCTTCAGAGAGAATTCGACAAGGGAGGTGCGGAGTAATCACCAGCGACGCACTCCAGCTACAAGATCTACACCCCGCAACCATGGTAACAGTCTCGCTGATCCGATTTGTAATTTTAGATGAAATCATTTGGGTTTTCTGAAGTTTTGATCTTTGATACAGATCTGTAAAATTGAATCCAATTGTTTTGGTATCTGCCTGTGAAATTGGGATTATAATGATGAGCGTGTATAACTGTATATATATGAATGTGTATGTGTATATATATATATTTAAATTTGTATTGGGGATCATGGTGGTGGTCGGCGTTGAGTGGTGGGAGTAAGCGGGGACGATTGGGTTTCTGGGTTTAATTTTTTTGTTCTTTCAAAAAGTTAACAGAGTTAAAATTGGGGTTAGTGATGGACACGTGTCAAACTCTGAGAGAGGCCACAGGGTTTTGGGTGCAGAGGATTGGTCTCAGAGAGATCATAGGACGAGTATCAGTATAGTCTAGTAGTACTCTACACACATCATACACTCTAACCGCTTATTTAACTTCCCCTCCCCCTCCCTGTATCTCATCCGGTCATTTTGGCGGCACCAAAACCGCCACTTTTCCTTCACTCCCCACTTTCCACTCTGTCTCTCTGTCTCTCTCTCTCTCTCTAAATTTTTTGCACAATCTAATCACCGTGGATTTATCAGTTGATTAGTAGCATGCACGTCCTGGTTTCGACGGTTTTTAATATCTGTTGATTGTTCATTCATCATAGATGTTCAGAGAGACTGGGGAGAAATGGGGGACTCTGCAGAAACTTCATTCTCTCTCTCCAGCCTTCTCTGCCAAGAAGATGAAACTTGTCTGAGCCAGTTGAAGGACGAATCGAACACATCCGTAGAATTCAACCCATGCTTTCTTTTCGATAACGATGATGAATATGTCGAAAACTTGGTTCAGAAAGAAGCTCATTGCTTTGGATCCAAAGGGTTAATGGATTTCTCTGCCTCTGGCATGAGCTGGTTGAAAACTGCTCGATTGGATGCCATTGATTGGATTTTCAATGCATGTCACTCTCGCTAAAGCTCTTAACTTTCCCAGATTGTTGTTTTTATATTTCTTCTCCAGTCCCTGAAAGTTTGTGGATTTTGTTTGCAGACAGGGGCAGTTTTTGGGTTCCAGTTGCAAACAGCTTACTTATCAGTGACTTACTTTGATAGGTTTCTTTCAAAACGATCCATTGATGTAAGTTAACCGATACTTTTAATGTTTTGCAAATTGGGTTTCTGTATTATATATGTTTTGCTAGTAATATTTGGATTTTTATTGGTTTTTTTTAATACATAGGATGAGAAATTGTGGGCTATTAGATTGTTATCAGTGGCATGTTTATCCTTGGCTGCTAAGATGGAAGAATGCAAAATACCAGCTTTATCAGAGTTTTCGGTTTCGGATTATGATTTTGAAAGCAAAGTCATTCAAAGAATGGAGCTCTTGGTGTTGAATACATTGGAATGGAAGTTGGGTTCAATCACTCCTTTTGCTTATCTGCATTACTTCATCAATAAGTTTTGTGCTGATCAAGCAAGGCCAGAAGGACTGTTTTCTAATGCTGTAAAACTGATTATGGCAATGGCAAAAGGTAATCTAATCCCATATTCCCAATTATAATTAAATTTGCATAATTTGTTGCATTTCCTAATCAATCTGATTCCTGTAATGCAGAAATTGATTTAATGGATACTCGGCCGTCGATTATTGCAGCTGCTGCAGTTTTAGCAGCATTTGATGGTCGGTTAACTAGAAAGATTCTGGATATTAAGATGAATGTGATCTCATTCTTGCAGTCCCAAGATTATGTGAGCCTACTAGTGCGCTACTAATTATACACTGTTCACTGATTTATTTAAGTTAACTAATCTTAATTAAATTTCCATTGGAACAGGAACATATATATTCCTGCTATAATTTTATGCAGGGAGTGGTGGAAAGAAAAGCTAAGACACCAGCACCCAAGTTTTCAATTTCCCCTTCATCAAGCTCGATGGAAGTGCTTGAGACTTCATCATTTGGCACTAAGAGAAGGCTTACATTCAGTGACTCTGCTGATCAAAGTTGCCCAACCAAGAAGGCTTACGATAGAGGTTTTTGATTAATGTGTTGGTTTTGTTTTTTGAATTATAGAGAGGGAAAAAGAAATGACTCATGATATTTTAGAAGATGGGGGGTTTAAATTATATAGGTCTAATGAGTGCCATAATTAATTTCTACCAATTTATGGTATATATGGTTTGGGATTTGATGATTGGGGTTCCAATTTCCAATACCAAACAAAAGATTTTAGCTGGTGACAACCAAGAGGACGGGGAGAAAAGTGAAAAAGTAAATAAAGTAAAAAGTACGAAGAAGTTAATTGAAGTTTGTGGATAGTAATTTTGAGTAGTATTTGGTTTCAGAGTGCCACTATTGCTTACCAACGTTTTATTTTCTTCAATTTGTTGTTGTTTTGGGCATGATTTTTTAATCCGTGGCCAGGACGATTTGGAGAAAACAGTTGTATTTTCGTTCGTGATTATTTAATTTAATTTAATTTATTTATCACCTCTCCCAGACCCTGCGTAAAGCGGGAGCCTTGTGCACTGGGTACGACCTTTTTTATTTGTGTTTCATGATAGAGAACATTAATTTATAAGTACTTATACATCACTAGCTAGCTAACCCTACTTTTATGAGAGAGAGAGAGAGAGAGAGAGAGAGAGAGAGAGAGAGAGAGAAGAGGGGGGTTTGGGATGCTTCCTATCTGTCTTTCTAAAGGCTGAAAGCCATGAGGAATGAAGAATTGTTTTTGCTTGATTTGATATGTCTATGTTGTATTTGGGCCACTGCAGAAAAGTATATATACATATGTATATATATATATATATATATATATATATATATATATATATATATATATATATATATATATAAAGGTGATGTGATTATATTTGCTGGGAATGTTGTGTTTTCCCTTTTGATGAGTGGGAAACTACTCCCCTTTCACTATTAGGGGTTGCACTTTCGCTTGTACAGGTGCATGAGTCGAACTCTTGACATGAATTTGAGAATATGTGTGCCCTCTAGAATCGTCAGGTAGATCACGCCCTATACAAGAAAAGAAAATGAAGGAAGGTAGGGGTATGATTTGCTTGAATGGGGCATTTGAATTCACCAGAAAATGCAAATGCTGATATTTGCAACCATTTGAGAGAAGTTGTAGGACCCAAATGAACCATCATTATGAACATAGAGACCCAAACATTTGGGGTAGGGCGGTTGGATTTGGGTGCATAAGATTCATAGCAAAAATGGTGTCAGAAGCCTCACATGCCTTCTTAGGGTTCATCGGCCAGTCTGTCATAGTACACCATTGTATTTTAGCCTGAGCCAGAAAACCACACTGCCTGCTTAATAAATCTGTTTTCATATATATATATATATATTCGTGTAAAATTAATTTTAAAAAATGGAAATGATTTTTGCACACCCCCTTTTCTTTCCTACTGTTTCCGGCTTTGGATTGAATGAATTGAGAGGAGAATTAGTGGGCGAAAATTAACTGGAGTGTGTAGAAGGAGAAAAGACGTGTATTATTTAGCGCCGGGAGTTTGTGATGCAAATTTGGGTCAGACTCATCTTCTGGCTAATGTGTCTCACTGTCTCACGGGGGAGGAAACCAACCTCATCAATGAAAGTATACATAAATTCTGTTTAGCTTTTAAATTGCATTCTGCAGAAATTGCTGCTGTCGTTTTTGGTTGTGTGTGTTTACTTTCCGTTTTAGCATCTCTATTTAATCCCTTGGGTTGGAGACAGTTCAGCACCTTCACCCTAAAATAGCCTTGTATTAATCCTGTGCAGAATTGGGGGTCAAACGTGGTCACAAAGTCCACCCAAAATCTACACACAATTTGTCTTGGATTATTATTTGGTAAGAGACGTCACATGGCGCGATAAATATTAACACAGAGATGTGTACGGTTAAACAAAAGTGATATTTTTTTTTTAACAAATAATATTATTTACAATAAGGGAGGAAGGGGTGCGCTTAGCCTCATAATAAGCTAGCAATAATGTAGTTCAAATTTGCATTTGTCGAGAATCAAACTTAAGATCTCTCACTTATAAGTGAAAAGGAATACCGCTAGACCGTAGTACTAAGTGACAACGTAAGTGGTATTTTGTGATCTTTAATGATTTCAAATTCAAAAATTTTAGGGTCCCAAAAGTCAAAACCAATAATGTAGGGAAAAAAGCTATTTAGTTTCCGGATTAACACCAAATCGAAGTTCCATTATGTTATCAAGATGGTTATTGTGATTAGGTAATTATGTAATTTGCAACCATGTTTGCCAGAATTGCAGTCTAGGATGCTCAGAGGTGAATATGGACCATGCTTTACATCTACATCATACAGATGGATGTTGTCGGTTTATGGTATGAAGAAACATTTCACTTCTTTTAAGAAGAAAATAACCTAAAGGGGATTGAAAGAAAATTGCAAAAAAGAAAAAATATTGGACATTACCATCTTGAGAGCATGGTAGTTAGAGAGAAACAAAGGTTACTTTCACCTAGCTAGGACTAGCACGACATTCCATTATCACAAAGTAATAGCGCTTTCACAATGCATCAACGACTCACAATCACTTATGCACGTGTGAGCTACTGGTGCTAGCAGAATTCCAAATTGTCATGAATATAATGCTTTCACAACGCATCAATGACTCATAATTACTTAGCAAAGCTCCGAGCTGTAAACGTGTAATCTTCGTCTCTATTGGTTTGGAACAGGCAACATTAGCAATAGAACCCAGTTGATGTTCCATCACCCTATTGCTCCCACCAAGGTTACAAGCTAGAAGCTACTTAATCTCAATGGTGGTTGGAGTGATGGTGCTTCATAAAAGCATTGTATCGTGAGTTGGAAGGGCCTACTTTGGTTAGTTTTTACCAATCTCTGCTGCACAACACTTTTTTAGCAGAGGGACCCTAGTGTGTTTGACTGTTTGAACCAAACAAATAAACCAAAGTTTTTAACAATAACTAGTAACGACTAGCGAGTTTGCAAAGTTTTCAATAACCCCTTCATATGGTGATAACAAATAAGCAAGAGAAATGACAACCACACTTTTTTACTCTTTCTATATATATATATATTTTCTTTTGTTCGTCAAGTTAAAAACAATAAACATAATTAAACAGTGATGCGTATGAAAAAAAAAATGTAGTTATCCTTTTCTAATTAAAAAGGTACACAAATATGAACACGGATCAAGAAATGAAACAATTTCTTCCAAAGCTTCAAAAAAATCATATTTTTGTTGGTAAAAAAAAGTTCTCTCCGAGTGAGAGTCTCTCTCTGTGTTGAGATCTTCTCACTTTTAGTGTGAGGATTTTAATCTTGAGCAAATATGGTGGCGCCGACCCTAGTTGCGGCCGGGATCAGTTGCCTTTCCCCCTTTCTTTCTTCCCCTTCTCTTTTCTTAGCTTTTGCTGTTTCCCCCCTAATTTCTTTACTGATCTGTATTGTTCCTCTAACCCTATGGATATCCCTCTTCCTGGCTTATCCCTGTTTCGATCTTTAGCAATGCATCTTGTTGAGATAATGTGTAGAATTCCGGTGTCCCCCCCTCCCCCCCATGCATCTTGTTGAGATAATGTGAGATTCCGGTCCCCCCCCCCCAAAAAAAAAAAAACTGTAACTAATGATGACAAGAAATAACATCTAACAGCACTAATTGTAAAAAACTTTAGAATCAGAACTTTGACAAAGTAATGAACTATCAGAGTGAAATTAAAGATATATTAATTTGATATGAAAGAAACAACCACACACAAAAACAAAGAAAACTAAGGAGGGTATAGTCAATTTGGATTTCAAAGGATTTTAATGGACTTTTCAATCCTACATGGATTTTGACAGATTTATATGAATTTTCATTATAGATTTCAATGGATTTGTGTAGATTTTGATTATGGATTTCCTAAGATTTCTAAGCATCATCAAACCAATACAAACGGACCAAATCAACATAAATTGAATTTCTTTGAGATATTTCAGAAAGAAGTTCTTCTTCTCACTCCCTCCTCCTCCATGCTTCAACTTCTTCTGTCCCATTCTCCCACTCCAAAAACCCCAAAAACCCTCTTGCGCTTTTTATAAAATACCTGGAGGACCAAATTCACCACAACTAAACAAACCCTGCTGCTCTTTTTTCAAATACCCACCAACTAAACACACCTTTTCATCCAATTCCCAGAACCCAAGTCATAAAAATCAAATCTATGGATGGCAAGAGTTCCGTGAGATTCTGTTACGACCCGCTAAGGTTTGGGAGAGGAGTGAGAGAGGAAAGAAGGGAGTGATAAAATGTGAATAAGCTGGATTGGAAATTCTAGGGGTTGAGGTGCGATTCTCTTTTCTCTTGGTTATGTATATTTGTGATCACAAATCCAACAAAATCCACAACTTAATGAAATACAGTCAAATCCTTGATTTTTTTAATACACCTAGATTTATAATCACTTTAAAAATCCCTATCAAAATTTGACTACCTATAGATTTGGATGTATTTTTAAAATTCTCTCGAATCCTAATTTGACTACATTATGATTTCAAGGTCTTTTAAAATCCTCTTTCAAAATCTTGATTGACTACACTCTGATTTTAAAGTCTATTAAAATCTTGTGAAATTATATCAAATCCTAATTTGACTACACCCCTAAATAGCAAGGACGGAACAAGGACCTAGAGAAAAAAAGAAACAAAAATGGGACCATGTGGTATTTTACATCTCTCTTGCATTATTTTTACATTAGTCGCAAGCCAATAATGCAAAAAGGATCTTCAGTCAATATTGGATAGCGATGATAACATTATCAATACGTGAAGGGCGTTGGATTAACTAGATATATCATTCTGTTGGTAAAAAACTTTGTCTAAATTGTTGCTATATATAATCTTATTGTTACCATGCATATCAGTGCACCAATTCCCCAAAACTTGGTAAGATAGTTACTCAAGAACTAGCTAAAATATACAGTTAAGGAGAGGGATACATTTCATGGGTTCAGAAGGTTAGGCCAAGCTTCCTGTTGTAGATTTAACCAATGTTGAAAATTTGAAGCCTGGAACTGAGGCATGGAAGTCGACATGCAAAAAAGTCCAGCAATTAAGCAGTTGAAGACTGGCTGCTTTCAAGCCACTTACCACGGAGTACCTTTGGGCCTTCATAACGACATGTTTTCTGTGATTAAAGGTCTATTTGATCTTCCAGTTGAAACGAAATGCCAGAAGAACAGTGATCCCAGCTATGTTAGCCAATATTCTTTCCTTCATCTCTACAAATCCTTGGGAGTCGAGTACGCGACAAATATGATGTGGCCTGCAGGAAATGACGAATTTTGGTATGTTTTTATTGGTTTAAAGACCTAATCTAAATTTCTGTAACTTTTTTTCAGGATATAATGTAGTATACTCACCATTTTTTTGGTACGTATATATTATGCCTTGCTAATGCTGTGTTATTTCTTTGAGTAGTGAAAAGGCTTATACCTTC